ATGAAAGCGCTTGTGATTTTCTAACAAAGAAAGGTTGGTAACGATGGCTAGAGTGTAGTTGGGATTGATCGGTTAATTTTTAGTGGTACACAATTGTTGATATAACGACCCTGCTTCAGGGTCAACAAAACGTCTTCATTTTGGAACTTTCTTTGGCAAATAGGTTCTTCACGTAAAGTCTAGTGGCAGCTCCCAAAGTATTTTTCTAGAAGGTCAGTAAGTCATCAACAGTGTCAGTGATAGTCATTCCAAATTGCCCAAAATTCATGAAAAGTTGGCATATTTCGTGTTCAATAAGGTGGTATAACTATGACGTTAGAATTTAAGAATCGAAAATGTTTACATCACATGTGTGATGAATGCAGTACTGCCTAAACTTATGCTCTGATACCAAACTTACACACCCCGACTCAGAATGTCTACCTAGACACCTAAATCGCGATATGCTGGCCAACTCCTAGAAGGTAACGAAGCTATAAAGTATAGTGATGTGGAAAATGTGAATAAATTAAAAACATATAGTAACTAATTCTAGAGTGTGCATGTGAGGGGCATTGACCCATTTCACACAAGTGATGTTCAGAGCATAAGTAAATTGTAGTAAAATAAGAGTAAGGACATTTATACCGAAAGGAGAAGTCTCCTAATTGACAAAGCCAAGGCCCGTCTAAGGGAGGAAACCGAGCCCAAAAGTGCTCTAACCTTGCTCCTAATTCCTTGAACTTCAAGAATAAGGGTAAAGCACCTAACACCATGGATGCAGACATGTGCTACTGCTATGGTTCAAAGGACTATTGGTCCCGTGTTTGCCGTGCTCCCCTGAAGGTTGTAGCTGAATATCATTCTCATTGTAAGAAGTTTGAATCAAACTTTATGCAAGTAGATGAATTGGAGAGTACCAAGATGGAGGTTTCTGACTTTCAGGAGGCTATTACCCCTATGGAAGATTAGAATATTAGGCATGAACTATTTTTAGTTGAATTTTAGAACACATGGGGCCGAATTCCACCTAGTGGCCGAACCCCTTCTTTATTTTTGGTTTAAATTTGAACAATTTTCCTTTATGTTTGGATTATTTGTTGGTGATTTGTTTTTGGATATTAAGTTTTTTTTTTTTAATTACCATCATTGAATACTTAAATTATTTTGAATGGATATTTGTTTTTAGAACTTTTATGCATGTAACCAATTCAAATTAATTTTTTATTTCTTGGTATGACTAGTGAGAAAGTTGGTTGTATGACAGATAGTGCAACCACACACATTGTTTTGCGTGAACGCATTTATTTCATAAACTTTGTACCTAAGAATACACCTCTGACAACCTTCTCATGACCATCCAGCCTGATCAAAGGATACGGTAAAGCACGTATAATGTTGTCTAATGGTACAATCTTGACCACACTAAAACCTATGTGGAAAATGAAGTGCAATTTCTATGCATCACTTCCTACGAATATGGCCAGAAGTGTATTTTAGAGAAAATGGGGCATATCCCGAGTGGTCTGTATACTACAACCATACGCCTTATAGAGAGCCACTATGTGGCCGGCCCTACCTTAAGGACCACGCACGAAATTACTTTGGCATAATTGTTTAGGAAACCTTGACGAATAGCGATGTGCCTCATCCTCAAATCTTGACATGGGCATCCACTAACCCGAAGTTTAGGTTCGATTTAAGGAATTGCATGTGAAACCTGCTCCATGGGAAAACTTATTATTAAGCCTTGTTATGACAAGATTTGTTTAAATCCTCTTATTTTTCTACCAAGGATTGAGGGGGACATTGGTGGACCGATTCACCCTCCATGCGGACCATTTAGATATTTTATGGTTTTGGTTAATGCTTCCACACGTTGGTCATATGTGTGCTTGTTGTCCACAAGGAACGCTGCAATCTCCAAACTGATGGCTCAGGTTATCAAGCTCAAGGTTTAACACCCTGATTATCCGATCAAATCTATTCGATTGGATAATAATGGAGAATTCACATCTAAAATTTTTTATGACTATTGCATGTAGGTTGGGGTTGAATTTGAACATCCAGTACACCATGTTCACACCCAGAATGACCTGGTAGAGGCATTCATTAAGTGCTTACAAATGATTGCTTGATTGTTGGCCAAATATACCAAGCTCCTGATCGCTGCTTGGGGCCATGCAATATTGCATGCAACCATGTTGGTCTGCTTGAGGCTTGTTGTGACCCAACCATATAGCGCCTTTTAGTTGGTTACCGAATACGAACCCAACATATCGCATCTGCGCGTTTTTGGTTGTGCGGTCTATGTGCTGATTTCGCTGCCCTTACGTACGAAAATGGGGCCTTAGCGAATGATGGGAATCTATGTCGGATATGATTCTCCTTTAATTATTAGTTACTAAGAACCTTTGACAGGTGATCTGTTTACCACTCGTTTTACGGATTGTCGCTTCTATGAGATAGTCTTCCTGCTGCTAGGGAGAGATAAGAACGTCATCGTTCCTGATGAACGATGTAAATTATTGTGGACTCATATGCCCCTATTGAGCCTACAGTGAATCTGACTGTCGCATACTCATTCTATCCAACTCATGAGGAAATTCTAGATTACGGAAGTGTCCTTAAAGAGACGAATCCACCTCCTGAGAATCGAGGGATTTATGTCCATTATGCTAGCTTGAATGATGTTTGGTGTAGAAATGAGATGATCATCGATGATACATTAACATATGCAAGAGCTACTGAGATCATGTTAAGCGATGACACTGAACCGCGTCTCGTTGATGAATGACGACATAGAACTGATTGGTCAAACTGGAAACAAGCAATCCAAGTTGAACTCAATTAGCTTGTGAAATGTAAGGTGTTTGGACCTGTAACTCCTACTTCTCTACATGTGAAGCTCGTTGGCACAAGTGGGTTGTTCGAAAGTGAAATGAGAATAATGAAATTGTACGTTACAAAGCTCATCTTGTTGTGCAAGACTTCTCACAACACCTCGAGATTGATTATGATGAAACTTGTTCACTCGTTATTGATGTGATTACTTTTCGCTACCTTATCAGTTTGGTAGTTTTCAAAAAAACTAAGTATGCAGCTGATGGACGTAGTAACTGCATATCTCTATGGAGATCTTGATACGAAAATTTATATGAAAGTTCCCGAAGGACTTACATTAATTGGATCAAATATTTCCAAACCCTAGAACACACTCTCAATTCGGCTGAGGCGTTCACTTTACAGTGTGAAGCAATCTGGAAGAATGTGGTATAACCATCTGAGTGAGTATTTGACTAGTCAAGGATATGTGAACGATGAACTATGCCCTTGCGTGTTCATTAAGAAGTCACATTTCGGTTTTACGATTGTTGCAATTTATGTTGACGACATGAACCTCATCGGAACTCCTGAAGAGCTTAAGAGAACTGATGCGCACCTTAAGTCATAATTTGAGATGAAAGATCTAGGAAAGACTCAATATTGTCTCGGTCTTAAGATAGAGCACCATTCGGATGGCATCGTAGTACATCAATCGAACTACACCCAAAAGGTGTTGCACTGCTTTAACGAGGATAAAATGACACCTTCGAGTACTCCTATGGTCATTCAATCGCTAAATGCAAAACGAGACCCCTTTCGTCTAAAGGATGATGATGAAGAGATTTTGGAGCTTGAAGTTCCTTATCTAAGTGCGATAGGCACTTTATTGTACTTAGCTCAATGCACTAGACCCGACATCTCCTTCGCTATTAATCTTTTAGCAAGGTACAGTAATGCACCAACACACAGACATTGGACTTGTGATAAAGACATCTTTCGTTACCTTAAGAGTACTACAGAAATGGACCTGTTCTATCCCTACGAATCCTTGAGTGATGACGCACCCCCTTATCTCGAGTTGATTCTCACCTTGTTGGTTATGCCGACACATGATACTTATCTAATCCGCACAAGGCGCATTCTCAAACGGGTTTTGTCTTTATCGTTAGAGGCACCACAAACTCTTAGAGGTTAACTTGGGAATGTTTCTAGCTGAGAGAAATTGTGGGCCATATTCGAAGCTCTTGCGATCTCTACCTCGTCTTTGATGTCCCAACGACGATCTAAGAAGACAACGCATCATGCATTGAACAACTCAAGAAGGGTTACATCAAAGGAGACAATATGTCATCGGCAATATCAATATAATTATGTACTCAACAATATATACTAGCATGCAAGTCGGAGTCACCTAATGTGACCTGTATGACTGCACCTATGGCTCATCAGTCTACGCTAGCACACGAGTTAGAGTCACCTAATGTGACCTGTACGACAAGACTAGGTGTAATAATCGCTCTAGTGCTACGATCACGTGAAGACTATTGTTATGCGCGAGTCACCTACGAGTTGGAGTCGCCTAATGTGACCTATACGACAGGAATGTCACCTACTTGGATCCAAGGTAAACGTGCAATGTGGGAGGTGAACATACACATGAAGGATTGGCCCTGGCCTGGGGCGAGAGCACTAATACCGGGGTGAAGCAATGATAAGCAAACTATATGAATATAGGCATGCCATAATGATGCAATAATCCCAATCAACATAACAAACTTACCTGAACTTACATGCGCGTCCCAAAGCATTTCATAACAGTACAATATTCATGAGCAGGTAAAAATGCATATGAAATGCCATGACAATGTAAAACTCAACCACACACGGTATTTTTAAAATTAAGTAAATCGTGGCATAATATGCATAAACCAATTTAAAAGCATTTGTGGAAACTATACAATATATGTGTGTGTATATATATATATATATGAAAACAAAATGCCCACTCACTGATACACAACAGGAATGAAGCCTCCGAGGCTTGTTTGACCCTGTACTTCCTTAGGATACGTTTCTCGTATACGTGAAATTACTAATTCAATTAGTTTAATAACACATATATGGAATAAAACCTCTGTAGTTTGGTCACATATAGGGTTTGAATATATGAAATTGATCTACTTGATGTCACTGACCTACACAACTTGACAGAAAGCTGATTAAAGGTCAGACGCGCAGCCACGCATTGCCTAGGGCACGACCCTACACGCCACCACACATGGGCAGAGACTGACGAAGGCCCTAACGACCATTAAGAATATTTCGTTAAAGTGACGGAATATTCCATTAAATGGTAACGGTGCTATCGTTAGGATGTATTTCGTCATCTTCTCCGGTGGTCCTCGCCGGTTGCCGCTATCTGAACTCGCCGTAAATCTGGAAATCTTTGAAGGTTTCTGGGTAAAATTTCAAAGCTTCATAACTTGTTCATTTCTCAACCATTTTTCACAAAATTTAAATGGAAATGAAGCTTATGAAGAGTAGAACATGATTGTACCTTTTGGAAGTCCAAAAAGTGGACGGAGGTGGCTGAAAATGGTTTGAAAGGTTTAGGTTAAACTCCGACTTCTCAAAATCGTGTCTTTCAAGGTTGTTTCTTCTTCAAACCTTCACTAAAGACCTCGGGGAGTTGAGTGGAGGCCTTTAGAATTGCTAAAAACTTATAACTCGCTTGTAACTCGTCGGGGAAAAACTAAGCCGAGTCGTGATCTGGGGGTATAGCTATGCTCGTGGTGAGGAGATGAACACAACAGTGGTGGTTTGAGGGTTTGATACGTGAGTTTTGATGTCGATCTAGCTAGTTGCATAGAGAAGAGAGTTCGGATTAGAGAGAGAGAGAATTGTGGTTTCTGATTGGTTGAGTGGTGAGGGTGAAGTAAAGTCTGATTGGTGCCAAATTTGAGGGAGAGAGCTTGATTGGCTGTGAGGGTTTTGAGGGGAAAAGAAGTGGATGAGAGGAAATTGAGGAAAGTGATTGGTGGGATTTGAAATGGGAGGCCGAATCCGCCAATTAGGGAAGGGATGGATGAATTTTGTACAATTTTAAATGTACAAAATCTTTTCCCTTGACAGTGTTTCCAACATTGGTAATTTGTATGCGCGTGTACAAAAATACCCGTGATTAACGTACTTTAACGAAGTGTAACTTTTCCGTTACAGATATGATTTGAGTCTATCACGAGTTCATAACGACGAGTACTTTTTAAGTACAAAACCAGGAAAAAGAAACAACATTCGAAAAACTACGTCCACGTCAAATTGCACTTTTGTCCAAAGAAGGGTAAAATTGTCAAATTACACCAACGGAAAAGAAATTGCAATGAGAACTAAGGACAAGTCGTCACAGGATCCCTTTCGGTTCCATATATTAAGAACCAAAACTAAATCGTTTTTTAGCTTGTGGTTGTTTTCAAATCGAAATCGTTTTAAAACTGTAAAAATAGAACTGTTAAGTGCAATTCAGTTCGATCTGTGTTTCGGTTTCCATTTTTGCCCATCCTAGCTAAAGAGGTGTGGATAACAGGCAATCAATTGGCATTAAAGGTCGTGGGAGCTCAAAACTCTAGTAATTAGAACACTTAATTTGAGAAAGAAATTGCATGAAAAAAGTCTTCATGTCACTTTAACTTTATGAAAAGAGATGAAGTTGGTACCAAAGAAAGAAAAAAAATGCTTTTTTGCTCACCACTCTCAAGTGGTGGTGAAGCTCATCACTCTATTATCACCGTAAGATGAGTTTAAATTTTAAGATTTATGCCTATCTACTACACGAATCTCGAAATTCAAATTCTTCTAGTGATGATAAATAAAATGGTGAACATACATCATAATATATGATGGTGAGTAAAAATGCTCCTAAGAAAAAAGGGTTCATATTACTTTTAACTTTAGAAAAAGAGATTACTTTAAGTTTACGAAAAGAGATTACTCTTAAGTTTACAAAAAGAGATTTTACTTTAACTTTAGGAAAATAGATTACTTTAACTTTGGATGAGGATCTTCTCCGGATTCTTTGTGGGGATCCTAGAAATCCTCACATCTTAGTCGTTCATCATACATTGTACGATCATTTTTCGTTAGGTATTATTTGTGTTTAATGTTAAATAAAAAAGTTCAAATAATTTATGTTTACATGATGTACAATGAATAACTAGAATGTATCCCTAAGATCACCACAATTTGAATCTGGATGGGATTCAAATCCTTGAACTTTAGAAAAAGACATGAAGTTGGAACCAATGAAAAAGGGAAATCAAAATAAAAGCAAGTTTAACTGTCCTTTTGTTATTTGTTAAAGGTTGGACTGCTGATCCTCAGTAATACATTTTAATGGCAAATGATTCAATGAACTATTGATACGAAATATGTAATTTAACGAAAGGAATACGATACTACATTTCCCGAATTGGTCATATATAATAGGAAGATGACTTAATGCAAATATGCTACCACTGTCATTTTTTTTTTAACAAACGATATTATCTACGTTAAGGAAGAATTGATGAACTTAACCTGACATTGGACTAACAATAATATGGTTCAAATTCATTTTTGACGAGAATCAAACCTAAAGCCTCTTACTTACAAGTAAAAAATAATACTATTAGACTGTAGTATTAAATGATACCACTGTCCAAGTTAAAAGCCCCTTCCCTCGGCTCTTTTTGACAAAAAAAAATACACATTATTGGTCATTCACCCGATACAGTTATCGATGTCAATAAAATGATGCAAGAAATACGTCTTGGGTTTCTGCATATTAAACATATATAAAAAAATTATTCTATCAGAAAGGAAAAAAATTGGTGCTGTAATAAACAAATCTAAAGAGCGAAAAAGGGATTCTTGATTGCACAGTCGAGCTCCGATCCAGCTGAGTTCAGCACTGCCATGTCAACCTTTTCCCTAGGAAGAAGCAAGAACTCTCCCCCTTCCATTCTCTCAAACTCGCACAATTCAAGAAACTCGACGCCGCCTTTTACTGAACGAACCCTTTCCTGCGTAGGCAATGAGTGATTTGACAACAAATGAAAAGAAACCTAAGTTAGTGACCAAATCAAGAAACATGGACATTAAAAGAGTAAACTAGACCAGTAAACGGATCTGATTCTGATTGGATCGGCCTAATCCACATTTGATCCATTTATCAATGGTATTTTATCGGATTGTATCAACTCAAATCCATATCTGATTTGTTAGCTAACAGGTTACCAGATTCGGAACATCACATTGAGAATGTCAATCCATATCACATCGGATTCAGATCAAATACGGATCAAAAACTATTGGACGATATGGGCTATGATATGGGGTGACTGGTACCCATGCTGTCAGTCCTCAGTTTCCTCTTTCCATGGGATTCATTATTAAGCCTAATTCCTTAATTTGAGGAAGATTGACCACTAGTTGACTTGTTGATATTTGTGTGCTAGTTATTTGCTGGATTCCCTTAATTTAAGGGATGACAGCTCTAGGGTTTACCCGCTTAGTAGAGTTTGTCAAGGGAAAGTTGCTTGTAACCATCTCCCTCATTTTATATATACCCTCTTGTACGTTCAAACAATCAACTTAAATTTCCACAAAAACCGATCCATTGGTAGGTCTAAGTATAACTTAATAGTATAGTATTACGCAAACTTTAGCAGGGGAGGGAAAAGAGAACAAAAATCCATAAAGGGGAAAGATTGGACTCAAAAGTGAGGTGTTTTCTGTGCAAGGTAAGTTGTTCTGACTGGAAAGATGGGTTAGTGAGTCTTATCTTTCTAAATTTCTAACAACTTTCTTGATAAAACTCTATGTTAGGACACGTTTGGCAATATAATCCATTTTGGTTCTTTATTTTCATTTCTTCGATCTCTTCATTTTCCAGAAGCTTTTTTGTACGATCCACAAATTAATGGGAATACATATACTTTCCAGATTTCAAGAATATTACAGAATCGGTAGGTTTTGTTGTCATCCTAAAAACTCCAACAAATTGTTATTTGCGGGGCAATATGTCGTTATAGTAATGGCCCTGTGTTAGAAGGTTCAGATTGTAGTATTTGTTCACTAAACTTTTTAAGGTCCAGGTGTTTCATACTTCATATTATTACACTTCCCAAACAGAGGTATAGATGGATATGTATCATGTATGGTGTCACTCAAGAATTGTTTTGTAGTAGCCGACTGCACTTAGTAGGATAAGGTTTTGTTGTTGTTGTTGTTGTCGTAGTCAAAGAGTCTTTGATTGTTCCGCCGAAAGAGGTCACTTCATCAGCTTTCTTAGTGAGGTAGAGTGTTCTATGATCGGATACTCCCAAGTACATTTAGAGTTTGGCGTGTAAGCGGTTGAACCACTTTTACAATAAAGACGCTCAGTTTTTTAGTACAAACCTATATTTTACCAATATAGTTGAGGTTGCCAGACACATTGTAAAAGACCAAAAACTTCACGTGCCACTTGGTCCCTGGTGGAGGCCTCATCCTTGTTGTGGTCAAACGCATTGTTGTACTCGCCACTGTCACAGTGGTTGTTGTCTAGCTACGCCAGAACAATGGCAGTTGTAATCCGGCGCAGCCACGTGTCAGGCGGAGATTGATTCTAAAGGGGTAAAGGAATATACCTTCGTCATCTAAGATTCCATTAGAATTAACAAAAGTCACCTTCTTCGCCGTTAAATCCGTCATCGGCTGCCATCCTCTGTTGCCGAATTTTGCAAATTTTAAAAAATTGCACAAAGCTTCGAATTAGCATGTTGTCACAAAATTTTCAATCAAAACTTCACAAAAATGTTCGAAAGTTTACCCAAACACAAATTAGGACGATTTGGGACTGAATTCACCTCAAGTTCACCAAGGTTTGGCCAGACTTCCTCATCGAAAAATGCAAAACAACACATAGAGGTTTGCAGAGGTTAGAGCCTCGATTCATAGCTCAAATTCATCACACGGTGACTGAAGTTACTTGGGATCCATTAGAGATGATCCTAAGCTAAATTGAAGGCCAGCTCGTCACTTTTCACCACGAACTTCGCCAGAAAACTCACTTAGAACTAGAGTTCAAGTTCTTCACCTCCCTGCCACCACGCATGCAAGACCACCATTGAGTTCCTCATGGTGGTTCTGATTTTGGTAGTTTGGAGTTGAGATTTGGTCAAGATTGGTCGTTGTTTGGGTGAGTGTTCTTGGTGAGCTAGAGAGAGAGAGAGAGTGAGAGTTGCAGAGTTAGAAAGAGGGAGATCTCTGTTAGAGTGTGCGTTAATGAGTGTAAGATTGTTACACTTGTCATAAGATTAGAAGCTGTGTTAGTTAGGTAGTTAAGATTGGTGTGTATAAATAATATTGTACCTTGTACATTTATCTCTCTCCCTCTCTCTAGAAAATGTTCTTCATTATATACATCAAAGATCTTCAATTGATATAGGTTAACATGGTATCAATCACCTCTGATGCTTGCGCATGATACTATCATCTATATTCTTGCTTCCTCTACCTTCAAATTTGTCTTCAGCTGCCTTTGATTTCTGTTTCTGGATCTTCAAAGATTCTTCATCTTCTTGAAACCCTCATTTTCTAGGGTTTGGCTCGATCTTGATTTGTGATCAATTTTCTTCTGTATTTCTCTGAATTGTTCAATCCAAGTGTTTGTGATTAGTCTTCAATGACTTTCTTCTTTGAACAACGATTTGGTTCAGTTCTCTATTGTAGCACAACTTACGATTCTTCAATCTCCAATCACAGCTCTAATTTCTACGATTTCTACTTCTGTAAACATGAAATTAGATGATTCAAACT